CAGCTATCTACAAACCAAGGAAAGGCACTATTGGAAATCAACACTGCTGACACCTTGATCATGGACTGCTAGCCTCCAGAACTGTGAGAACTCATTTTGTTGTTTAAGGCATCCAGTCTGTGGGACTTTTTAATGGCAGCCCTTGCAAACTAATATCAACAGTCATCTTTTGAGTTAGTTTTCTCAAATTTAAAATGTGAAACATTAAAAAAATTTTCATAAGTAGATAAGGCATTTTTACCCTTCATCAGAAACACTCTCACCATGTACTCAATGTCTTTAAGCTGCAGTGAGCTGTGATCGTGTGGCTTTTAAGAGAAAACATAAGTACCGCAATACTGTGTACAGATCTTCAAGATTGTAACCTTACCAGCACTTGAAGTATGAAACTGAGAACCTGGGTGCAAGAGTGCACTAGACCAAGTCATGGAGACCTGGCTTCCTTGCTGTTGATTGGAAATTGAACTAGGTGGTCTCTTAGGTCACTGCATGACTCTTAATGATGGTTATAACCCCTATGCTGTGTAAATAAACATTCACAGTCAATTGAGTTTATAAAAGCCTCATTTAGTCATATGGCTATTTTATCTTTACCTGATGAAAATGCCTCATGCTAAAATACATCATTATTTACTCATTTCTCTAGTAGTATTTATGGAGACCACAGATTTTACAGGTAAGCCAGCAAAGATCAGCAGTGATTACCTAATTTTCTATTCCATTCAAAATAAATTCCCACCACCAAGAGACTAAAATATACAATGAATGCTAAGTCCAGACTTCTGCAATCCAACAATGTTTTAAAGATCTGAGAAGTAAAACATCTGTCTAAGGAAAAGCAATATATCATCAGCTGGTATCTGTGTTATCTTTTTGAAAAGGATACAAACTTGGTTTGAGATCACACTTTGTGCCTCAACGTATATATATACCAATGCCACAGGGAAGCCAATACTGAACTAAACTGGAAATAGTGTTCCAACTGGACTCTGGTACTGCATATACGGGGAGAGAGAGAGAAAGAAGAGTGAGTGTGTGGGCAATAAAGCATGCTATCATGCCCCTGCACTATAGGGGGGTGCTGGAGAAGGTGCATCATAGGAAGATTAGAAAAGCACTTTGCTCCTCAAAATGAGAATTATTCCTAAATGAAGGCAGAGACAGTTAGATTTTGTGTTTTTCCCACTTTGAACATTGTTTGATGTACTCGCTATTATCTCATCATGAGACGTTTACATGGATGGCTATGGAAAATAAAAGAAAATAGGACACCATTAGAATTACAGGTAAGACAAGGGAAAACCCAAAGCACAGACAAGAACACAGAAAAATTTTAAGAGAGTACAGATGTCATGACATTTATTAAAAGGCATGCTACAATGCTATATTTGTTAGGAAAAGAGATTAGAGATATCAAGTAATAGTCAGCAAATATACAAACTGAACGAAAACGGAATATACTGCAGTGTACAGAAGCTTGAATTAACCATGCACTACGCATTTAGAAAATATGTTTTTTAATATTTTATCTTCTTTGCATTTATAACATAATTCACTTCAACAATCACAGAATCCTTTTTTTCCAATGCCACAAACTCTGTTACAAATGAAAGCTGGTACTGCTGCTTATCCAAAATATACAAGACAATTGATGTTTTATATAAAACCACTTTATAAGTTCATTTGTTCCCAAAAACCTTTTTGTCTTTTTTGGCCTTGTTAAAAAAAATGTTGTTACAAATATTTACAGCATTTTCTTCTGTTAGATGAACATTCTTACAAACTGAAAAGGGGAATTTTTATGAACAGACCACGTAAAACACCAGGCAATGTCAGAGGCTCCTAGCTGTGCTATTTTTTTTTTTTCCTTAAATACAGTACTGAAAATGCCCATCAAACTCTTGTCATCCTAATCCATTCTGTTCACACTGAAACTCCCATTTTCTCTAAGTAGTCTATTCACCAGTAGGAAATAGAAAGGAAAGGCCGCTCTGCACTGGGTCTTCTTTCAGAAAAGAGCTTGGGGAAAATGCTTCACAGAGAGGAGTCAAAACCAGAACAGTCAGTCTTTGGTCAGAGCAATGAGGTGACATTTTGATGCAAAGCTTTGCTTGGTCAGCAGTCTTTTTAATTGGTACTTTCTGGATATGGGATGAATTTTTAAAAGATCTGGGAAACAATGGCAAGGGGAAAAAAACGCCAGAGTACGATTTTAATGGCATCCAAAAAATAGCTATTTAAGTATTTGTTATTACAACGACTACATAGACCCAAGAAGTGAAAATAATACAACAACAACAAACCAGGTGACAGTGCTGATTTAAGCATGCCATAGGCAGCTTTCAATTATGACTATGATCACCAAGGTCACTGGACCAGACAAATATCCCTGTTCTCTGGAACATATGCCTTAGATTACAAAAACTAAGGAAACTACCATGAAGATGTTGAGCAGCTCTATTCTTGGACCTGCACAATGCTCTATAATGAATATTATGTGATAAAGGCAAAAGTGTAACTGAGACTTCATTTATACAGTTACAATTCTTTGCTTGGATGAATAGTTGGCGGGACAACATTCTTTTAAAACTATATAGTACATATTTCCTGAAAACCAGAATACTGATACTATTTTAGTCTCAAATAGGAAGAAAAGGTCAATTAAGACTACTGAAGAAGGCACATAAACTTTGGTCCGTTTTTTCTCCCACTATAAAACCCCTCAAACTAAGATTTTAATAATTTTCTATTTTTTAAACCACTCACAACTAGCTGCTAAAATTTGCTCTGAAAAAAGACTGCTAATAGTCTTGTAGATAACAACACAATCTTAAAAGACAGCTGAGTTATATTTTCTGATTTTGTGCAATCTAAATTGTATTTCTTTTAGCACAACAGTAGAGTATTTTAAGTCTGGCAGTTTTGTTCTCGTTAACAACAGATCAAGACAAAGGAAAGGCTAAGAAAAAATGCTTTACACATCGTCATACTGTCTCTTTTTGGTTTTAAAAATAGCAGTACACATTAGGTTTTCTAACAGATAGGTGGGGGAAAAGACTGTACTTTTGAGTTTGTCATTTTTTGTCCAAAAATATCTAGTGGGAACAGAAGATAAACGGCATGACAATATGCTAAACATATAAGCATTGCTGACTGGTAGCATGGAGACTTTGAAAAGAACAGAGAGTCAGGCGTGGTGGCTCATGCCTGTAATCCCAGCACTATCGGTAGCCAGAGGCAGGAGGATCACTTGAGCCCAGGAGTTGGAGATCAATCTGAGCAACATAGCAAAACTCCCCCCCAAAAAAATTTTTAAAAAGAAACTGAACAGAGCAGTCATAGGAGCCAATTCTTATCAACTAAAGCAGAACCCATAATCATCATACTAGCTGGAGCCAAAAGAGGCCCCATTCTCATAATGAAACAGGTAGGCAGAAACTGTATCTCCAAAAACTGAGCTCAGCCATGTTTAACAGTAAATCAGAAACACTACTTCAAATAACTGATTATAATATTTAGTCTTAAAGAATTTATGGCATTCTGTAAGGGCTACTCTCCATTAAGTAGCAATTCTGATACTCTCCAAAAGTATTTCTGATACTCTCCAGTAAGCAGCAATTAAGACAATGGGTCATTTTTCTATTTGTATGTTACATAAAACACATTTTATTGCTATGCAAATTATTCAGATCTCAAAGTAAATCATTTTGGTGTAATTTGCTACTGTTAAATGTGTACTGCTAATTTTTAAAGTCCTGAATATATATACTTTGCGTAGAAGTCAAGACATGTTGAAAAGTAATGACAATACTCCTTAAAATAAAGCAAATAAACTTAAAAATAGGATACTATGGTAGATCAACAGAAAAATCAACCACTGCTAGAAGATACTGAATAAATGCATGCCAAAACAGAAATACAAGGATCTAGTTTTTCCACCATCCTGATATTTTTTAATCTTTTTACAAAAACTATGCCAACACAAATACTGTAATTCAAACAGCGAATAGCTAAATATGGACAACATCCATGTGCTACAGCTAATTTTAGACATAAACTGATGGTTTCAAACATGCTATTTTAAAACAAGAACATCCCACATCTCCAAATCTTAATTTGGTTAATTTTGTCAATAAATTAAAATGTATGTAATGTGCATATGTATATACAACTTTAGAAGAGTGTATTTATGTATATACACTTATCTACACACACACACACATACACACACACACAAACACACCCCTTATACAAATCCCTGAAAAGGATTCAAATGTTCTCTCTCAGACTTGAAGGCCATTCCCTACTTCAAAATTACATTCAACACCATTATGATCTCCCTTCTGTTACCAGCAACTTTTGCTACACTTATGCTGAATGTTGTAAGAATCATGAATTCATAAATTACACAGTAATTCCTAACTTAAAGTAAATGAAATAAGTCAATTTAGCATGGCACTGAAAATTATAATAGTGCCTGGGTGGGGAGGGGGGAAGCAAATTTTGGGAGATTTTGCCAAAGAAATCTTTTTCCTCCTTCATACACCCCTTGTGTCTAGGTAAAAATTTATTTCCTAAGTAAAAAAACAAAAAAAAAAACCCCACAACTATACACATAATTATACCTATCTATTCAGCAAAACTGATCCATTTGAAAGGTCTTAATTTAGTATGCTCTTTTCTATTCTACCAACTAAGTGTTGCTCAGTGGTGAGTGAATTCTGCTTTTTAAACAATCTGTATCATCTCTTGCAGTCTCTATTTTTTGGTAAAATTTCTACTGTAAAAAACCTCCCTATGTTCTAATTAATCACTAGAAAACAGCAAAGAGATTGAGATTTTTTAATTTTTATTTTTCAGAGAAGGGGTCACACTATGCTCCAAGGCTGGAGTGGAGTGGCTATTCACAAACGTGATCATGGCACACTGCAGCCTCGAACTCCCTGGGCTCAAGTGATCCTCCCTGCCTGTGGCTGGGACTACAGGTGCACACCACCATACCCAGGAGGATGTTCTTTATGCTTTTAAAAGTTGAGATGAGACACTCTGAGAATCTGAAAACTGTAAAAGGGGTAGACAAAAATGACCCTTTTGACAAATTCTGCTTTAAAAAATTCTGATTAAGAATTGAAGGAATAATAGCAAAGTTTCTTATTAAAAAGAAACAATTTTACATTATACAATCACTGAAGCAACATTAAAATGTACTCTTACATTCAACCAAAAAGAGAGGGACAGAGTATGAGAAATAACCCCCTCTCATACTCCAAATATGTGGAAACTCAGTAATGAAGTTACATTAACAAAGAAAAGCAAGTTCTCCCTTGAGTATTGAGAAAAACCAAGTAATCCTGAGACAAATTCTGATTGATGGGTGATAAAGATGAAACTGAGATTGCACTCGACAGCCCCAAATTGATATGCAATAATAACTGGCAATAAACCCTATTAGTCACAATGTAAAGAGGCCTACAGGTGTGCGCTGAATTATTCCCCAAACCATTCACCCTTCCCCACACCATCTCTGCACCAAGCACCAAAAATTTGATAAAAACTATTACTTATTGAAAACCACTTAAAATTGCAATTAAAAAAATTTTAAATCCTTACCAAAAGAGAGAAAGAAAAAACAAAATGCTTATGAAGTCTGCAATATAGCTCTCAAGATATTTAGATTAAACTCTAACCTATTGTATCTTAAGCACATAATAAGGCACATAAGAAGAAATTAAGTAAATACACAGTAATTTTGAGTATTAGAGATTATAGTGGTACAAAAAACCCTTGAGATTAATTTTTTTCTAAAAGAAGACCTTACCAAAAATAACTTTTAAAAAATCTGTCAAACCATATGATAGACCTGAATATTTTCCTTAAGACTGTAAACTTTTTTCTGAAAACAATTATAAAAAAGTAGTTTATAAGTAGAATTATTTTTCTTTAAAATTTTCCAAGATCATATTACTTGACAAATAAGCATCATTTGAAATTTAAAACATGATTTTTTCCTAATAAAATTATTAGTTATTCTGACATCTTCTTAACAGATCCTAGTTGGATTCCACTTAATTTCCCTGGGGACAGCTGAGACACTTCGGTTTTCCAAATAGTCTTAAAAAGTTAAAGACAGGCATTATTTAAAGGAGTGTCTTATAGGGAAAAAAAGAACATTGAAAGAAAACATGCAGGTTTATAAATCTGCTGCCACACAATTCAATGTGTTTATGCATAATAACCATTGATATATGGCAAAAATCTGATGTAATTTTTAAGTGAACAGAATTTCCTACAAGGGTCAGACTTCTGATTCATAAGGTTAATAACATGGTCATAAGCGATTTAAATTACTTCCATCAAGTAATTTTAGAAGTCTGCGTGTTTAAATTTTTTAAAAGTACAAAGGAGTTTAGAAATGTTGTATAAGGCTGATCTGGACCCAAATTAAAACAAAGTTAATGCTCTTCAAATCTAATTTAATATAGGGAATAAAATGATTTAAAAAAACCTTTTTTTCCTGATTTTCTTTTTCCTGAAGGTTATTCTCATAGAAACCATGGTACAAAGGGAAAAGAAACCTTTGACTGGCAGTGGTGGGGAAGGGGGGATAGAAAAAAAGAACATCCCTTGATTTTTAAAATATACTTGAATATCAAACTCAGAGTTATTTTTGTGAAAGAGGCAAAATTGGTCGTGAGCTGCTTCAGTCTATGTCTGAAGGTTTTACTGAAATTACGGTCCAGTTTTAGGAGAAAAATTCACAGAAAAGAGAAAAATTCTCAGATTGTAGATTTTGAGAAGGAAACTCTGAGGTGGTGATTTTCTCCAAGGTCATGGTTATGAAGCTCAATGAGGGCCTGAATTGCTTCTTCCACAGATCCCAATTGAATGAGCGCCATTTTGCGATCTTTCCTGAAAATGGTATAAGAAATACAGAAAGTATTTAGAATAAAATTTGCTTCCAAACTCCTTTCCCCACCAGAAGACTTCACTGAACTTCCTTTAAAATTTGCACACCATATTAAATAATTTTAATGTATTTTTTTAAGGCAAAGACTTACTGAAAGAATTTAAAAGCCTTCACTGAACATCCAGCTTCTATGAAAAGATTCTTCAGACCATCCACTGTAACAGAAGGGCTGTGAAAACAACAGAGGAAGTCAACTACCTGGGCCCCATTCACAAGTGAAGCAGATTAACTCTTGTAGTCATCAAATCTCTAAAGTATCTTACATTTCAAACAGAATTATTAAGCCATATGACAAAGACTTGATTTGGAAGTTTCCTGAAAGATGTTCAAAAAAAGACACGTACCTTCAAGTAATGGAATTTTGTCTCAAATCTTTACAGAAGACATCGGCAGGTATATAAAGGGCAAGAAAAATCTTTCTATATATATATATATTTTTAATGCAGTTGTGCTTGGAATCTGTTTTTATTCTTATTGCTTATACCACTGGCTTCAGTAATCAACTGTGGTACTTCCAAAGTTTCCTAGCTCTGACTTGTCTGCTACAGTCTGGAGTTCTACATTTTCAACTGTTTGCAGGGTAATTCTGAATGTGTGTGTGTGGCTGCCAGGCTCTACGATGGCCCACAATGACTCTTGCCTTCTCATATTCACTCCCTTGCTTATTCCCCTCCCATCGGAAACAGAGGTGTCCTCTGTAAACACTTAGGATACTGTAGAAATGACAAATGTGACTTCTGAAGCTGAGAGACACTGTGGTTTCTACTATGTCGTCTCCTGAATTATTTATTAGCTTTGAAACGACACCATGAAGACACTATGGAGGAGTCCTCATGACAAGGAACTGGGGCCTTTGTCAACAAACAGGCACACGACTAAGCCATTTTGGAAATGGATCTTCTACCTCCAATTAAAGCCTTCAGATGACCACATCCTTGCCTAGCATCTTGACTGCAACCTTATAACAGACTCAGCCAAAGCCATCCAGCTAAGCCACTTCTAGATTCCTGACTCGCAGTAACAGTATGAGATAATAAACATTTACTAATGTGTTAAGCTATTAAGTTTGGGGTGATCTGTTAGACAGCTGTACATAACTAATACAGTGGTCTACCACATGACAGTCAACTGACTAAAAGTAGACTGATCTCACAACTGCCAGCAAGGATGGTGTAGCAGAATAATCATTAGCTCTGTCGGAAGACAGATCTGAGTTCACATTCTATTACTCACTCACTTGTATATCACTTTGACTAAATTATTTAACCTCAGTCTCAGTTTCATTAATACAATGAAAAGACTGACTTTATTTCAAAGGTTATTATGAATAATGCCATGTAATAGTGGATGCCAGGAGCTGGGAATTAGGAGGAAAAGGATGGTTACTACTTAATGGGTACAGAGTTTCAGTGTGGGATGATGAAAAGGTTCTACAGATGGACAGAGGCGATAGTCACACAATAATGTGTGAAAGTATTTAATGTGAATGTATACTGTACTGTACACTTAAAATGGTTAAAACTGTCCATTTTATAACAATTTTTTTAAAAAGGTTATGGAGATTAAATGAGGCAACATGTGTAAAGCACCAGCACAGTACCCAGAACTTTGAAGAATATTAATATCCTTTCCTTTTCTTCTTACATGTCCTATGTAGGTTGTAATTGAAGACCAGCTCTTGAGTAATATGATATATTTAAAAAGCTAACAAAATTTCTCAGGTGATGGGTGAAGTAAGTAACTAAGTAAGTAAGTAAGTAAGTAAGTAAATAAATAAATAAATAAATAAAATAAAGCTAACAACAGAGCTGGGCACAGCGGTTCTTGCCTCTAATCCCAGCACTTTGGGAGGCAGATTGCTTGAGCTCAGGAGTCAGAGATCTGCCTGGGCAACATGGTGAAATCTGTCTCTACAAAAAATATACAAACAATTAGCTAGGCATGGCAGCCCACACCTGCAGTCCCAGCTACTTGGGAAGCTGAAGTGGGAAGATCACTTGAGACTGGGAGGCAGAGGTTGCAGTAAGCCAAGATCACACCACTGTACTCCAGCCTGGGCAACAGAGGAAGACCCTGTCTCAAAAAAAAGTATTAATTAAAAAAATTAAAAGCTAATGATGACAGGTGCCTGCCTCAGTATCTAATTGTTGCCCATTTACCCTATACTCCATAGTAATGAGCTGCTAAATTTCTAGGTCCATGTAATCTACTTTTAATCTACTTTTCTTTCTTCCTTGACTCCACCAGCTTCCTGGCTGGCATAAGGTTTGATCCATTGCCCAACCTGGATTCAAGGTTTCTCCGTGTAGCCTAACTGGAAACCAGCAGGGAGGCTGGACATTCAACACTCTTCTGAGTAATTATTCTCTATTCCTATTCAGTTCCCGTTCTCATTCTCAGTAATGGTCCAGACTCCACCCCTTCCTATACCCTCAAGGTTTTAAATTTTTACACACATATCCCCCACAGTTTTTATCTCGCTTTTCCAAAGCTTATCCCCCTTTATGTATTAGTCCAAATTATATAAAACTGCCTTTTTAAAAAACAATTTCCAAAGTCCATGAACTAAACTGCCATTTTTGTAGATTAAGGACTTTAAACCATTAGGACAGAGATTGCCAGATATTTTCTTTAAAGGGCCAGAGAGTAAATATCTTAGGCTGTATGGGCCATATAGTCTCTGCTGCAACTAACCAGTTTTGCTGCTGTAGCTCAAAAGCAGCCATAAATAGCATGTAAGTAAATGAGTACAGCTGTATTACATGAAACTTTATAAAAGATGAAATTTGAATTTTATATAATTTTCTCATATCACAAAATATTTTGCTTCCATTTTAAAATGTAAAAATCATTCTTAGCTCGTAGGCCATACAAAAATAGCCAGAGGCTACAGTTTGTCAGTCCCTGAGTTTGAAGATAACTAAAGCACACATACAACACTAGTTAATAAAGAGACTTGTACAGTGGCTACAGGAAAGTAACTTTTAGCTTTTAAGTAATTAACCTATCTATGGCTTTACAGCTTGTGGATAAAAAGTACAAAATCTGTTTTTACCAAATTCTTAGATAAGCTATTTTGATTCTGCTCTATTGGTTAATGTAAATCATTACTTCTACAAAGGGATAGACAAATATGTGCCAATGGAAGATTTCTGCATAATTATTTTTATGACCTTTTATAACTGAAAAATAGTTGCAAATTCTCTATTTGGAAAGAAAATTTCAAAACCAGTATCTTTCTATTTTAGAGTGTAAGATTGGAAATAACCTTCTGAAAGCATAATGGCAAATAAATTATCTTCTAAGGAATTATTGACCAGGACAAGTGCTAGGTTAGAACAATTTCAGAGGTTTTAACCTCTCCAAAATGACATATTGTAGATTGGGATTAATAACTTATTAGGTACATACGGAATGTTGGAAAGATGCAGAGTGGCTGAAGGTGGAAAGATATTCTGGAAGTTTTTAGAGCCCGGCTTTTTAAAGCGATGCAAAGGACTATTGCTGAAATCCTTAGTCAGACCTTGGTCTTCTTGTCCCTCTCGAGGAAGCTGCACTGCTTGATGTTTGGACAGTGTAGCACGAAGCACTTTCCCGTAAAGTCTCTGACCACTTAGATGGTTCATTGCTAGTGCATGGGAAGAAAAATTTTAAAGTTTGGGTATTAGGATAGATTTCTCAGTAATATTTGTCAATACTACCATAAATTATTTTTATGTATTTAAAACTGTATTGTCAGTTTGAGGGTGAAAAGGGTTTCAAAATCCAAAAACTCTTAAGGAAATACATTAAATGACTTCATTTTATGATAAAAGCAATTTAAAATAAACAAAAAATAACTATTTTCTAAGCAGAGTGCTATGAAGTTTGAGTGCCTGGAACATAGTAAGTATTCAAAAAATAGTTACTGAATATATTAGTTTTATCTCAAGCAAAGCATTTTTATAAGAAATTTTGAGTAATATTTTAACAGCTTTTATAACAGTGAAGCCATTGAACTCTTCCTTAAATCATCATTACAAAGTTTGCCCAAACTTTTAAGTCATTCAATGGTTACAGAAAACTTAATTTGGAAGGAAAAGAAATAAATAAAATGAAATAAAACAAATCATGTTTATTAAACTTAATAGAAAAATCCTTGGGTCAAAGCTCTAAAACATTAACAATGTGTTCAAGTAGATAAATGAATTTCAGACTTAAAAAGAGTAATGAATATTTTTAAATCTTAACATAGAGGTACAAATAATAAAGAAGACATTATCATAAGGAGGTGTTCTTTTGTAAAATCATATTCCTACTATCTATGTTTGTTTATTGTGTACACACAAAAGGGGCAAGTTCACATTATTAATAATTATTAATCATTAGTACCTAGTTGAGCTTGATTTGCATCTGCCATCTGAACCAAGGCATTTTCTTTCTTATTAAACATAATCTTCACTCGATGTACATCACCATAGACTCCTAATTAAAACAAAACAAAGCACTGTTTTTAATGCCTGATTGTGTTGTGTTTAATTAATTTTACTAATATACTTACAGAAGACATTTCTTATACTATATACTCTCCCTTGGCGATTCCATACATACACTCGCAAATGTTTATCTCTTCCAAATTCCAAATCTATTTCTGTACTTACTCTTTTTCACGTGGACATCTCATAAATACTCTAAACTTAATATGTCCCAAACTGATTCCTCCCCGCTTTCCTCTCCCCACTCTGTTCACTAACTCTGTAAATAAATACCGTTATTCACATAGTTGCCCCAGTCACCTGGAAGTCATCTTTTGACTTCTTCCTTTCCTCAAACCCTTACTCCCACCCAATCAATCACCAGCACCCATTGAATCTACGGTCTAAATATCTCTCACAATTGTCTATCTCTCCCAATCCTCGCTACCATCAAAGCTATCAACACTATTTCATACTAGGACTACCACAACCTAACTGATCCTAATTAATCTTATTATACTCGATTTTTCTATACTAGTGTTCCCCAAAGTGGGAATTGAGTCCTATCTCGTAAAGGATGGGTAAAATGATTCACTGAGGTATAGAAAGATAATAATCAAACTCTTATCTATACTAATCTGCTTATATAAAGCTATATGAAAAAACTACAGGTTTTGAATTTTTAATATATAGATAAAATTATAGCTAGAAGGTGCTACAAAGTGAATTCCAGTCTCGCTCAACTTTTTCATTCAGTGTATTACAATATATTTCAGCTTATGTGCTACATGGTATCATCAATATTATAAAAATAAAATCTTTCAGCAGTGTGCAATGGCTTACACCTATAATCTCAGCACAATGGGAGACCAAGGTGGGTGGATTACTTGAGGTCAGGAGTTTGAGACCAGCCTGGCCAACATGGTGAAACCCCGTCTCTACCAAAAAATACAAATATTAGTCAGGTATGGTAGTGCACACCTGTAATCCCAGCTACTCAGGAGGCTGAGGTGGGAAAACTGCTTGAACCTGGAAGGTGGAGGTTGCAGTGAGCCAACATCATGTCACTGCACTCCAGCCTAGGCAACAGAATAAGATCCTGTCTCAAAAAAAAAAAAAAAAAAAAAAAAAAAGATCTTTCAATAGTTGCATTATTACCATACTAACGGCACTTTAAAAACTTAAAACAGAGACAAGTATTCTGAATTTGCTACCTTTCTCAGAAATAACAAGATGGTGATGTAACTATTCTTTAAAAACTAAATATACACAATTTGTTTTTCAAAATGTGGGTGTTTATTTTTTGTAGAGATGGGGTCTCACTATCTGGCTGAGGCTGGTCTCTAATAATCTGATCCTCCTGCCTTGCCCTCCCAAAGCATTGGGATTATAGGCATGAGCTAATGCACCCAGCTGTTTTTTAAATGGGTGAGAAATTTAACTGCTTTTAATATAAAACATGCTTTGCTAGAAAAGAGTCATATTGGCCGGGCACGGTGGCTCACACCTGTAATCCCAGCACTTTGGGAGGCCGAGGCGGGTGGATCACAAGGTCAAGGGATCGAGACCATCCTGGTCAACATGGCAAAACCCCGTCTCTACTAAAAATACAAAAAATTAGCTGGGCATGGTGGTGCGTGCCTGTAATCCCAGCTACTCAGGAGGCTGAGACAAGAGAATTGCCTGAATCCAGGAGGCAGAGGTTGAGGTGAGCCGAGATCGTGCCACTGCACTCCAGCCTGGGTAACAAGAGTGAAACTCTCCCCATCCCCCACCCCCACCCCCCAAAAAAAGGAGTCATATTAAAAAAAAATTTTTTTTTTTTTTGAGGAGGAGTTTTGCTCTTGTCTCTAAAACTATCAGATTCAAAAAAGTTGGAAACAATTTCCTATCTTATTTTAAAAATCTGACAAATGAAGCATACCAGTGAGTTTTAACTCTGTTTGTTACACATATTCAAATATAACAGTTTCAAGATCCACTAATTTAAGAAGAAAAAATTGAACTTTTCTAAGTAAAGCATGACAAAGATTGGTGGATTACATGAAAAAATTAGTGAAATAATTATTAAAGTACAGCAACAATGAAACCCCTGCTTTTAGATTATATATTTTTATGACTTATCTTCCTCAGCTATGACAACCATTAAAGTCAAGTAGTGAAATGATCTACCCTTGGAATACTGAATCAAAATGAAAACAAGGATTTTTTAGTATCAAAGCGTATTAAATCATATTGCTCACCAAATGTTAATCATTTTTTATGGAAAAATAAACTGTCATTAATTAAAATCTTGCCAGGTGTGGTGGCTCACACCTGTAATCCCAGCACTTTGGGAGGCCGAGGCAGGCAGATCACGAAGTCAGGAGACTTAGACCATCCTGGCCAACACAGTGAAATCCCGTCTCTACTAAAAATGCAGAAATTAGCTGGGCGTGGTGGCACATGCCTTAATCCCAGGTACTTGAAAGGCTGAGGTAGGAGTATTGCTTAAACCAGGAGTTGGAGCTGCAGTGAGCTGAGATCATGCCACTGCACTCCAGCCTGGGCCACAGAGCGAGACTCTGCCTCAAAAAATTATAAAAAAGTAACACAAATAAAAATCTTTAAAATAGTAAATATCGCTTATTTCACTGTTCTCGTTAATTCTATGCTGTTGGAAAGTTTGGAGACTATTTTAAAAACCTGAATCGCATTATGCCACTCTCTTGCCTCATAACTTCAATGGCTTCCCATTGTTCTTAGGTTAAAAACCAAACTCCTTAACAAAGCTTTCAAAAGCTCTTCATGATTTTGACCCTAGGCAGCTGTCCACCTTCACCAAGTCTCCATTATACTCGCCACCAGGCTTCCTTCCTGGTACTTCCATGTACCAGGACCCAACTCTCTCCTCTCCCCTCTCCTGTGAAGACACTGCCCTCCCTTTCTGCCTGGCTGATTCTTACTACTGTTTCACAAGTCAGCTTAACTATCATTTCTATTGAATCCCTCTGCTAGGCTAGGTCTCCCTGCGTTACACAAAACCTCTATTTCCCATATTATAAATCATCACTGTAATTACTTACAAAGTCTTATTCACTGTTTTATCCTCAGTGTCGGCACAATACTTGGCACAAAGAAGTAATCAATAAATATTACTAAATAAATGAAATGTGCTCAATTCACACCTGTAGACAATATTAAAATAGCAAAAATGAACTTACCAAACAGGATAAAAAGCCCATGTGGTGTGATAAGCTGTAAAGGGTAACACAAAATAAGTGTCTGACAATAATTTAAGTAAAAATTGAAAATAAGTTTATACTCTGACAGTTTTTATTTTAATGCAATGGTTTTATATACTAGCGATCAATTTTAATAAAAGTCCTTGAAACAAACTTAAGCATTTTAATTTGAATACAACCCTGGATCAGAAGCTACCATAGCCAGGCATGGTGGCTCACACCTGTAATCCCAGCACTTTGGGAGGCCGAAGTGGGTGGATTGCTTGAGCCCAGGGGCTCAAGACCAGCCTGGGCAACATAGCAAGATCCTATTTCTACAAAATAATGCAAAAAAAAAAAAAAAACAAAACACACACAACCCCAAAAAACATTAGCCAGGCGTGGTGGTGCGCACCCGTAGTCCTAGCTACTTGAGAGGCTAAGATGGGAGGATCACTTGAGCCCGGGAAGCAGAGGTCACAGTGAGTGAATGCAGCACCACACTTGAGCCTGAGTAACAGAGTGAAACTCTTTCTCAAAAAAAATTGCTACTATACCTTCTCCTGAAAGACTATTTATATAGAATACTTTTCAACTCACATCAGGATTGAGATTTGTGACGAGTAGAACAGAATTTCCTGGTATACCACTAGCCCCAGGAATGGCCATCCTTCCAGTGACAGCAGAGGAGGTGATTGTGAGAGGACCAAGAGCTCCAGGAACAGCTGGAACTGATAGACCTTTTAAAAATACCAAAAGCATTTCATATTCTAATTATGAAAAGAACTGTAACACTTGATAGAATTTAAGCAAATAAAGAGGAAAGCAAAAATACAGAAAGAAAATGTGTCAAGGCTACCATAAAGATACGGAAGGCCAGTTTTCTGCCCTACAGAGTCTGCCTGCAAGCTGAGCTCCTCATCTGTTGACATTATTATACTTTGTGCTCTGTTATTCATAAGGTACTCTGCAGACTAACTGAAATCACTGGGCCTAACGCTGTTAGGCTTTTCAGAGGGTCTATCAACTACAAACACTCCCTTTGTTTCTTACAATAGATATATTCTAGCACCTTTCTATCAAGTGTATATACTTTTCATACTGGCTTCTAACATAAAATCAGGTAAGTCTTTTTTTTAAAGTCTTTTAGCAGAAGTCAAAAACATGCATGCTAGGTAGTGCTATATGATATTTTATATGGGAAAAACATTTTGTGACCAGTATAAAATGCTATATAAACATTATTCTGACCAAAATAGATTTACAGTATTCAATATTCTTATTGTAGCAGAAATATTCAGAGCTCTCTACTTCTCTAGGTATTCTGGAACTACTGAAAACTCAGTAACAGCAGAATACTGACACTATACTTAAAACAGCAGACTTTCCCACTATTTTGTGTTCTTAGCTTAAAAAGCGTCTAAAGTAAACCTCCAGTTTATGTAAAGTGAACTAATTCCTTAATTTAATGATTCTTTAAAATAAACAGTCTGGCCACTTTCCCACATACCATGTAATTAAATTGTAGTATATTTTACATTCAGCATATCCTGCTTCACAATCTAAGGTCATAACTACCATCATCCACACTGCTGAATTTTAAAACTGTGCAGACCACATTCTCAGGCTGAATACTGCTGCATGAAATCAATAGCCCTCACATGACCTATTCCCATGCCCCTCTAGTCCAACCCCAATAGTTTTGCGTCACTTTTGCCATTTGTATGTCTGCTATACAAGGGCTAAGAGCTCAGTTCAGCTACACTGTAGGGGGTGTGTGTGTGTGTGTGTATCCTTTATCAGCTTACAAGTCTTATCAAGTTAGAAGCCCTCTTTTGACTTTTCACCCTTCTTAATATTTATTCCTTAATATTTGTACATAAGGGTATCTAAATAAACATATCAAAATGTCCACCAATTAAACTTTGAGGAGCTTCAAATAAATAAAACTATGTTTTTAACGTAATAGGTAGAATATTCACTTAACTAAACTATGTTAAGATATACTAAAAACCACCAAGATGCTAAAATTTAAAACCTCAATCTTCGTATCAATCTTTCCGTTTTGGTTAACTCCATCCTCTCCATCGAAAACAGAGTAGTTACTGGCCATGTGGGGTGGCTTACCCTGTAATCCCAGCACTCTGAGAGGTTGAGGCAGGCAGACCACTTGAGGCCAGGAGTTTGAGACCAGCCTGGCCAACATGTCGAAACCTCATCTCTACTAAACATACAACAATTAGCTGGCCGTGGTGGCAGGCACCTCTAGACCCAGTTACTCAAAAGGCCGAGGCATGAGAATCGTATGAACCTGGGAAGTGGAGGTTGCAGTAAGCTGAGATTGTGTCACCACATTCCAGCCTGGGCGACACGGCAACACTCTGCCTCACAACAAAGAGAGAGTCGAGAGCGAAAGTGAGAGAGCGAGAGCGAGAGAGCGAGAGAGCGAGAGAGCGAGAGAGCGAGAGAGAGAGAGAGAGAGGAGTAAAAATTCCCAGAATTCAAAGGTTAAGATAGAAAGATTATGGCCAGAAAGCAGCTATGTTGTAATTTAAAATGCAGTTATAGTCATGAAACAGTTATAAGTTGAAAATATGTAGAGAGAGGCTTACCACTCTGCCATTCCCCTATTCACCAACCTCAGTGTTTTCTTTAGACATCAGAGATAAAAATCATAAAGTAATATTTTCTCTTTTCCTTAAATTATAATCAAATTCATTCTGTTTACTATTTGAAAATAATGGGAGTCATTATCAAAGTATTAATCAACTCCTATCTCCTAATTACCTCCATTAGCTAAAGAGACAAAATATCTATCTCCCCTGAAATACACAGCATGCATACCCATCTACAGTAATCTTCAAAACCTATCAGTAACAAAAGATTTTCTGAAGCTGAATAGTGAATGTATAATATGACTGCATATTATTTGTTGAGTACTGCCAAAGGCATTAAAGTCTCAAAGATAAGACAAGTCTGTTCAACACATAATTGATAAGTTTATCAGTAAAGACAGAAGCAGCTTATATATTTTATATACCAACTGGAAAGGCAAATCTAGGGTTATTTAATGTCGTTAACCCATAGTTATTTGTGCCAATGACAAACATAAGTGATGTAGAACATATAATGGATTACTGGAATTAAGAATGGAACCAGAGAATTATTCGTAAAAACAAGGAAGGTAAGTACTATACAAATCAACAATCTTCTACAGCTGATATGCATAATATTTTTATGGTAAATTCTTCAACTATGATAACATTCTTCATCTTGGTAAGTTCCTAGAAAACATACAACTTCACTGAAAATCATTTCAAACCCAACTTAAAAGAGTCACCTGTAGCTTGAGGAAATCCAATGGCTGGGGCAAATCCAGCAGCCCCTGCATATGGTGAAGAAATTATACCTGGTGCACCTAATGGGAAAGAGAAGCTAAAGTAAATATACTACCTTCTATAAATATGGTTATCAAAGCAATATAAAATGGCCATATGAAAGTATATGACTAACAAAGGGATTCTGTTACAGAGTAAAGATCTGTTCAACAAGTGATCTTGAACATATAAAGAGCCTCTGCACATCCAAAGGCTAACCCCTTTCAATTGGGTTCAAGGATCAAGAGTACAGCCTGAGATTCTTTCACTTATTTAGAGCAATATTTTATAATAAAAAAATCAATTACTCACTAAATGATATTAAATCATACTGTACCTGTGGGATAACTATGCTAATAAAAAAGCAAGTTAAAATCCTTGCCTGTGAGAGGCTTACGAACTGAAAGTACGAATAACAGGAGATTCATGATGAGAGTAGAACAGTAAAAATTCAAATGTACTACAACTGGACTAAGAAGTGATCACAGAGGATTTGTTGTGACTGGTCATAGAAGTTTTCTCTGGAGGTAAAACCTGAGCTAGCTATTATGTAATCAAAGACGCACAGTATTTAGTGTGTACTAAATTCTAAACAAATGCTGGTCTTCTCTTTCCTTTAAAAAGCCTGGTGACTGTGTTATCATCGACAAAAATAAGAGTTCCAACGAAGGAGTCACTTTTAGTAGACAAATGATTAATTTGGTTTAGGGCATATCAAATTCAAGATGATAAGACATTCAAATAGAAATGCCAAAAAGTGGAAATAAAGGAGCAAACTCTATTATAAGTAAACACATAAATTTGTAAATTCACATAAGTTTGTGAATTACCTCTGTAGACATAAATGTGCAAGCCATACAAATGAGAGCTCCACTAAAAAGGACACAAGATAGGAAAAGAAGGCTAAAGACACAGCCTGGCAGTAGAGGTACACTTAAGCAACAGAAGAAAAAGGAATATCCTACAGAAAGAGAATAGCCTTAAAAATACGAAAAAAACAAACAAACAAACAAAAAAAAAAACAAGGAATTATAGTACCTCAGAATCCAGAGGAATAGTTTCAAAAGGGAGATGGGAAGGACCTTCAATATAGGGCACAGACAAGGAGAAATGAGGAAGGTAAACAACACTATTACAGAAATAGTGAGAGGTTAGACTGCAAAGCTCAAAGCGGGGAGTTTCCTTTTTTAATGATAGAGAGATGAGCATATTTACAGGCACAAGTATGTAGGCTCCATTTTCCAACAGTTAAAAACTCATATAATTTCATTTTCTTCATTAAAAAGAAGTACTTAATATAATTTATTAAATATGTAACTAATTACAATAATTCAAGAAAATACAGTCACAAGAGACTGCAGGGATAGAATTAGCAGAGAGAATTGACATTGAGATACAAAAAATGACAGTAACTGACAGAATAACTGATGAAGAAGGGAGAGTGAAATCCATTTAACAAATACATGTTGAAAGCACGTCATGAGCTAAAGCATTCTAGTCGGAAACAAGGCAGACAAGATTTTGTCTTTGCTAAACTTACATGCAAGTAAGCTCAAGATCATTAGGTAAAATGATTCATTTTTACAACAGAAAAAACTGTATTTAAGGCACAAAGAAGACTTCACAAAGAGGCTTCAAGATAGACCCAAGCAATTATGAAAATCTACACTAGAAAAGCTAAAAATAAAGTTAAACATAAGGAGAGCTATGGTGGCTACTGTATTATTGTTGCAAAATATCTGTTTGCTCCCTTCTATATAATTGGCCATACATGACTTGCAATGCCTTTTGGCGGAGGAGCACACATTTCCACGCAGTTCACACTGGGCTTGATCATGTCATGTTTTTCCCAAACAATAATGGCGGAAACGACACACGCTACTTCTATACAGAACCTTTAAGTGGCATTACGGGTTTATACCTGCTCCCTTATTCTTTACTGTCTGCCACAAGAGTGCCATGTCTCAAAAAGGAGTGGATCTTTGGTGTTGGCCCTAGTTTAAAAAGACAAAGTGGAGGATGGCTGCAAGAGCTTATTCACAGCTACTGAGGCATGTGGGAGAGAAAAACATTCATTTCTATAAACGACTGATGAAGGGAAGTAGTTTTTTAGGCATGGCAAAGTGGCTAATACATATGATTACAGAAGGGGTGAGGCAGAGCTCTAGCAAGCAGTATATTTGAGAGAAATGAGGAAAGATTTTGAGATAACTATCACAGAACATTCAACAGAAATACATAAAAGAACTGGCAAACAATTATCACGACCAAATTTAAATAACTGTTTCCCTGTAAAATAAGATAATAAGAACATTTGCTAATATTTGACAAAACAAGCATTCTTCAAGTGTCTATATAATCTACACTACCTAAATGAGCAGAAACAGAAACATTATATAGCAAAGTAACCTGTTAGACAACGCATTCGTATCTTCGTTTCATGAAGCAATTACATAAACCTTTAAGAAAAATGTTTCAGGTCTGAATGACTAAGAATGGATTCTTCACATTTAGAAAATGTACCACCGTGATAGCAACTAAGGGAATACGAATTAATACATGAGATAACATTTTAACCTATGAAATCAGTTTATCGCAGTGTTACTTAAAACAGCAAAATCCTAAAAGAACACGCTTAATGTCTAAATTGGAGAATGATTAATATAAACCAACCTTACTGCAGAAAATGCCCAATGAATGCGTATAAAGACTTTCTTTAAAAAAAAAAAAAAAAACTAAAGTTGCCATGATTATAAGGAGTAACTAGGTTAAAACTCTAACCCTGTGACACTGAGCTTTGGTTTGGTCAGCTTCATGGAGTAGCAGACCAGCAGTAAATTCCAGAGTAGCCCAAGATGGGAAGTCAACTGGACACTCTCACTGCATTAATCTATTAGTATAGGCTGAAAATAACCTACCCTATCTACTACTACTCCCATCTTGAGATGACTACCAGGAAGGTTAGCTTTGTGACTAGCACAGAAAGAAGCAAAGTCCCAGAAAAGTTCTAACCAAAAGGAAGCTTTCACAAAAATTTACAATATAAACTTAGATTTCTTGGAAGTCTAAAGGAAAACCAAGCTATTAATTTAGGTTAAAATGATCCCAAATGTAGAGCCTTTAATATTGCAGGCAAATTCTCTCTGGAGGAACAAACACCTTGATCCTGAGCCTCAAAGAACAATCATAATTAATTCTCCAAGTGAAATGAATAACTCATCCCCCTCTCCCATAAAAAACCCAAAAAGTCAGAAATATCTAAGCAGAAAGAAAATTGTAAAAAATCTGAGATACTAAATTAAGCAGATGAAGATTTAAACAGTAAGTTTGAAAAAAGGCATTAAAAAAAATCTGTAGTACAGGAGACACTTTTTAAAAATGAATAAAATAAAATTTCTAGAAATGAAAGCCACAATTGCTAAATCTAAAATTACAGGACAGATTTAATAACAATTAAATCAAGTTGAAGAGCGCCATCAGTGAACTGAAAGTTAGGTTCTAAGAAATTCTTCAAAATGCAGCCCAGACAGGAAAGTAAGTATGATACACTGAGGACAGAGTGGGGGGTATAACATGTCCTATTAAAGCTCCAGAAAGAAGAGAAATAATAACAAGGGGAAATACATGAAAGGATTTCTACAACCACTAAAAATAACAATCCACTGACTCAAGAAGCCCAATGAGCTCTAATTAGAATAAAATCCTTCAATGAATACATCATACTGAAACCACACCAAAGAAAATGGACACCGAAGAAAAGAAAAATCCCTAAAGAACAGCCAGGAAAAACAAACAAACAAACAAACAAAAACCAACAACAAAGCAGCAGTTAGCTTGACAACTTTCTTTTTTTGAGACAGAGTCTCACTCGCTTTGTCTCCAGGTTGGAGTGCAGTGGCATGATCTTGGCTCACTGCAACCTCCAGCTCCCAGGTTCCAGTGATTCTCCTGCCTCAGCCTCCCGAGTAGCTGGGATTACAGGCATGTGCCACCATGCCCAGCTAAATTTTTTGTATTTTTAATAGAGACAGGGTTTCATCATGTTGGCCAGGATGATCTCAGTCTCCTGACCTCATGATCTGCCCGCCTCAGCCTCCTAAAGTGCTGGGATTACAGGTGTGAGCCACCATGCCCGGTGACAACTTTGTAAGAACAACAATGGAGACCAGAACATCATAAATTGGTATCTTTAATATGCTGAAAGAAAAATCTCTCTCAACCCAGAACTTTATACTCAGCAAAAATAACTCTTAAACTTGATAACAAAAGAAAGATACTGGCCAGGCACAGTGGTTTATGCCTGTATCTAATCCCAGCACTTTGCGAGGCTGAGGTGTGCAGATCACCAGAGGTTGGGAGTTTGAGATCAGCCTGACCAACATGGAGAAACCCTGCCTCTACTAAACACACAAAATTAGGTCCAACACGGTGGCTCACACCTGTAATCCCAACACTTTGCAAGGCTGAGGTAGGCAGATCACCTGAGGTTAAGAGTTTGAGACTAGCCTGGTCAACGTGGTGAAACCCCATCACCACTAAAAATAAAAACAATTAGCTGGGTGTGGTGGCATGCGTCTGCAGTCCCAACTACTTGGGAGGCTGAGGCAGGAGAGTTACTTGAACCTGGGAGGCGGAGGTTGCAATGAGCCAAGATCGCACCATTGCACTCCAGCCTGGGCAAACAGAGCGAAACTCCGTCTCAAACAAAAGATAACTGGGGGCAAATAACTTCAAATATGTTACCACAGACCTTTCCTAAGTGAAATACTAAAGAGTATCCTTCAGGCAGAATATAAGTGTTTTCAGATGGCATGTCTGAGTTGCAAGAAGGAATGAAAACCCTAAAGAGTTATACACAGTTTAATGTAAATGAACACTGATTGTATAAGACAATAACAAATTGCAAGATAAAGTCAAATAATGTAAAAATATAACAAAAACATCACAGGTTCGGAGGAGGTAAAAGGAGTCCAAGTGTCCTAATATTCTTCCATTATGTAAGAAAAAGTACAGTTTTTTTTTGAGACGGAGTTTCGCTTGT